CTTGGACACCCAAGCTCTGGGTGTGAACACCTACTCTGGCTGGCAACTGGGTCAAAAGGTTAATTACTCTCCAATAGCCACATTTTCTCTTTCTTCACTTGCTCTTTCACCCCTTGAGAGACTTTATTTTTTTTTTTTTTTTTTTTTTTTTTTAAATATATTTTATTGATTTTTCACAGAGAGGAAGAGAGAGGGATAGAGAGTTAGAAACGTCGATGAGAGAGAATCATCGACCAGCTGCCTCTTGCACACCCCCTACTGGGGATGTGCCTGCAACCAAGGTACATGCCCTTGACCGGAATCGAACCTGGGACCTTTCAGTCCGCAGACCGACGCTCTACCACTGAGCCAAACCGGTGCCGGCACCCCTTGAGAGACTTTAAATCGAGTTTGAAATTTCCCTACGACTGAGTTACTGTGGTGTTAAAAATAAGTTAGCCCTTTGCCTGTCTCCTGAGCACCTATGATCTCAGGCATCATTGGTGTCTCTCTCTTTCTAAGTTAATTATATTCAGTGTGAGCTTAAATTTTCAAATCCATCTGCTTTCTCCAATCTGTAGTTTATTTATAGCTTCTCTTTTAAATAGAAAAGCAGTAGAACAACAGTTTCCTCATACTTTAAATATTTTGAGTTTGAAGCAATTGCCATTTCTTTTAGAATGAAATCAGTGGAAGAGAATTTATTTCTCAGCTGTTTTGTGTCTAAGCACTGCAGAAAAACTGTCCAATACAGCTAAGGTATGTCTCTGTTGGTCTCTTCTCAAAGCACCTATCACAACTTATAATTATATACTTACTTATGTGTTAACATTTTTATCCCAATTGGACTGCAAATCCTGTATGGGCAGGAAAGTGTTTTCATCAATCTATATCTGGAATATACTAGGTGCTCAATGAATATTTATAGAATGAAGCAAGAAAGGAGTGAAAATTTATTATAACTGATATTTTAGATGTGTTCAACTTCTTTTAATCACTAAGGACCATTTTATTAATTTTTACTTTCCTGGTTGCTATTTTATGCAGAATGAATTGCCTCAAAGTTTATGGCTTAAAAGTTTATGGCAATTTATTATTTTTCATAATTCTGTGGATTGGTTGGTTGACTCCAATATTGCTTTCACCTGGGTGCCTCACATGACTAAATGCTGGATAGTCAGCTGGGCTGAAAGGTCCCAGATGGTGTCATTTATATGACTGGCAGTTGGTGTTGGCCTTCAGCTGGGGTGCCTCAGTTCTCCACGTGGCCTCTCATTCTCCAGTAGTTAGACTGGCTTTCTTACATAATGTCTCAGTGCATGATTCCAAGAGGTCAAGGGTGAAGGCTTGCAAGACTCTTAGGCCCAGACTTCGGAATGTACACAATGTCACTTCCGCCACAATGTATGGGTCAAAGGGAGACACGGGTCAGCTTAGATCCAAGGGATGGGGAGATGAACTCTACTTCTCAATAGGAGGGACTGCAAAATATTGTGCCTATGTTTTTCAATCTGTTTAGTAGTTTTAAGTGGTAATAATGAAGATCATGGGGGAATGATACTAAAAATACTAAGTATTATACTAGCTAAGTAGTGCTCTAAGTGCCTTAAGTGTTTACATCTCACACAAAAAGTATGAAGTGGATGATATCATCATCCTCAATTTATAAATAAGAACTGAGGGTTAGAACAGTTAAAGAATTTGTTCGCAGTCTTGCGGAATTTTTGGTATGCAAACACATGTTGACTGGCTTTATGGCCTGTAGTTTTCCTCTTCCTCCCTTCTCTATACTCTTTATGCAGTAATTAATCCCTGCTGTCTGTATATGCCTGTACAACTCAGTTTGGTGAAGAATGTTGTCAGGATTGTGTGGTTTTTTTCCCCCCTCTCAATTCTGTGATGTGCTATTTCCCACATGCTAGCTTTTCTAAAATTAAGGTACATCTTATTAATAATGTGAATGTTTAATGTTGTACTTTTTTAAAAAAATATATTTTATTGATTTTGTACAGAGAGGAAGGGAGAGAGATAGAGAGTCAGAAACGTCGATGAGAGAGAGTCATCAATCAGCTGCCTCCTGCACACCCCCCATTGGGGATATGCCCGCAACCAGGGTACATGCCCCCGACCGGAATCGAACCCGGGACCTTTCAGTCCCCAAGCTGAGGCTCTATCCATTGAGCCAAACCGGTCCCGGCAATGTTGTACTTTTGTTTCCCAAAGGAAATCTTTCTTATTTGTTCAGGAGAAACTATATTAAGGAACTATGAAATCTTTTAGTTTCTTAGTCATAGAAGCTGCAAGCCAGAAGTAAAATTAATATACAAGCAATTTTTATTCACTGATTTATATTAATCAATAAAAATTTCAATGGGCACCTAAAATTGACTAAGCATAAAAGAAGGGTACAGTTGTGATTTATATAATGACAAATACCTATATATTAATTAGATATGTGAAACTGATCATTAATTTCTCTTGAATGTAAATATGTATTCATGTCACGGGCAAAAATACAAAACCCATAGAGAATCTGTCACACCACCTCTGAAAGTCTGCATGTATATGCTCATGCATACAAAGGCTATAAAAAGGCACAAAGATAAATTTAATAGTCACCTGTAAAGAAATTTGCACTTCGATTAAATTTTTTATAACTCTTAATAAATATAAATTCAAATACTTCACTGACCAATTTGTATATTGGGATTATTTGAGGACTATTGGAAATGCTGTAAGAAAAATGTCTATTGGTTTAAAACCACTTAGGTCTTTATAATAACAATGTTTTCTTATTAAAAAGAAAAAGGAAGTAAACAATTCAATTGCTCTTCACTTATCAAGTGATAACACCAGTGTTGGGTCTTCAGATGTTGGTTAATCGCAGGACCCTGTCTGTTGCACCTTAGAGAAGTGAGAATGAAGGCCCTTGGAATCATGGCCATGATACAGAGTTTGATCAAAATGATAAAGGAGCATCCAGCCTCTGTGCAGCTCTCCAGATCTCAGTTACAGAACTAAAACACCTCAGATGTGACCTGCGTGTCGTTTTCACGTTGTTTACACGAACTTTCATCCAGACACGCATTTAGATTTACATTGTTTCAAAGAACCCTCTAAAATACCTAGAATCAATAACATTGGGTTGAAAGACAAGCATCTTGACAATATATAAAAATGGAGAGTAAGTTGCTAAAAAAAGTTGGTCTCTGTGACTCTTATATTAAGGGTTGATTAAAAATAAGTTTCAAATGTCCTTGGATCAAGCAGGTTTATGTATTTAGATGTAGGAGGTTTTACAGATTTCATTCACAAACAAAATAAAAAGCTTTACCTTTGTGGAGGATATAGGCTTTAAAAGCATTTTTTCTTTCTTTACTGTATCAAAGTGCATGTTTTATACAAACCAAAAGAGAAAAAGATCTATATATACAAAACCCTAATATGCAAATAGACTGAACAATGGAACAACCGAACAATAGAACAACTGGTCGCTATGATGTGTGCTACTAGGGGGCACACATAGACCATGGCAGGCATTGGCCATGGTGGTATGGTGGAGCAGGTGAATGGGGACACCAGATCAAGGTGGGGTGCCGGTTGCTGTCATTGGGGCAAGCCACTGGTGGTTACTAAAAATTCTTTGCTCTTGCATGCTGCAGTCCTGCCTAGCACTTGCACTTGCTGCCAGCTTTGGAGCTGCTGCTTGCACCTGCTGCTAGTGCCTGGCTCTGGCCCTGATTGCTATGCGTCGGCACTGGGTGAGAGCGGTGGCTGCTGGCCCTGATCATTCCTCAGGACTTCTCCACCTCTCCCTGCTCCTAAGGAGTGATCAGGGCAATAGCTGCCTCTCACACCTGATGCTGGTGCTGATTCATCAGCAGATGGGAGCAGGGCTGGTGCCCTCAGTGTGTCAGTGCTTGATAGTGGGGTGGTGGGAGCAGGGCTGCTGGCAGACAAGGGACTGGGGGCCGAGGTGGGAGGAGCTGGGTGGGGGCATGGAAGATGGGCTGTACCTGCTCCTGTGCCCACCATAGCCTTGCAGCCCACAGTTTCTTTCAAGGTACATAAATTTGTGCACTGGGCTCCTAGTAGATATATACAACATATGTGAACAACCACAAATTTAAGAGCTAATTACTTTTGTACCCTTGAATAAACATGTACTGTAACTCAAAAATTATGCAACTAAGAATATGTTAACATCCTGAAGAATACCTTTATTAAAATGGAGACACTGGTGTCTACAATTTGTAGGTATGAGAACAATGCTAAATGCAAAAGAATATGCTTAAAACCATCAACTAATATTTTGCAGACTTTCTTTCCTTGTGGGGCTGTAGGAAAAAGTAATCCCCATATCCAAAATTAGTTGGTGGTTTCCTCCTTAATGGTAGGTACAGGCTGCCAAGATAATGCAGTAAAAAGACAAAAGCAGGCAGACCTGGACTTCAGCCCTGCTCTTACATAGCTGTGCAGCATTAGGCCTATCGCTTAACCTTTCTGTGCTTAGCGAACTGAGACAATGCTTCACAGTTTGTTACCTGTAATCTTATACAAGGTAACTGTTATGCTAACAGGTAAAACTGAGTGTTGAAGACATTTGATTGTACCATGTGAAACTGACATTTTTGTAGATGAAAAATGGCCAAATTTAAGTCTCCATTGTAAGGCGACGCCCCCTCTCCTAGGAACTTCAAGGGCATTGTTACAGTGAGACCAAAGTGTGAATGGCGAGCTCAGATTCCTTGGTGAGTTTTTAGTCGATGGTCATGGATGGCCACTTTTATCAGTGAGGAGTTTATAACATGCTGAAACAACACCCATAACCATGGAGTTGGGTATCTTAGGCTGTTCCATTCCCTACTCTCAAGTGCAGATACATCTTTCATATCTTACTAAAGGTAACATAATACACTCATTGCATTGAATGGTTACCCTTCTGTTCCACTATTTGCCTTTCTAATAATACCAGTAACTTACACATGCCCGTCGAGATGATTGTTGATCTAGGTACTCTCCTAAAAACTTGATTTTAAGGTGTTTTCCATGTTGTGGCTTTCCCTCTCAATCACTCTCCTTTGCAGTCCAGGTAGGCGTTTCTGGAAATTTCCACTCAGCAGGATGTAGAGAAAAGGGTTAATGCTGCTGCTGGCATAGCTAAGGCAGATGGAGAGGTAATAGATCACATAGAAAGCCAGCGTGGGCTGCTCCATCTGCAAGTTTACCAGCTGGATGACGTGATAGGGGGCGGCGCTAAGGATGAAGACTGCCACCAGCACCAGCACCATTTTTGTCAGCTTCATGACCCTCTGCCTCGGGAGACAGGGATTGTAACTGCAAAGGCAACATTAGGATAGAACATGAAAAACCTTAGAAACTGCAGGGCAATGGGGTCCTAGAACTTTTGGACAGTTGAGAATGGATGCAGTGCAATATGAAGCTCATTTTTATTCTTACTTATTCAAAGCATTGTAAAATGATTTTTTCATTCCTGTTAATTTTTTCCCAAAGCTGGAAGATTTTAAGAAACAAAATAAATAACATACTATTGCATTAAAGCCCAAAGTATCAAGTACATGAGTCTAGGCTGATATAAATATATGACTGAATAAAATGAGAAAGAATAGCTGTCAGTGTCTTAATATTCAATTTTAACTTTCCCACCACCTCAACACCCTGTGATACATTTAGGAGCTATTTCCCCATATAACTGTGGCTGCTTTCCTTTCTCATTCTAAATAGACCATGCTTGAAGAATGAAGAATGAAAATTTCCAAAGAATTTCAAGAAATTCTAAGTGAGAAAAAATGTCATGGGTTAATAGACCATTCAAACCTTTGGTACCAAGGTTTGACACAAATTTTGACCAATGGTGAATAAATTGTTCACCTATTGTTTTTTTTTTAAAAAAACATTTATAGTGTCATATGTGGTATGTGTGTGAAACCCAGGAATCTCATCTTTTCAAAACAAATACAACAATCTAGTCTAAGAACAAATTTTAATAAATTTTTAACCCAACATGTTTTTATAAAACATTGACTTATGCATTTAAACAAATTGCTACGTACAGTTTCAAGTAGAGAATAATTTATATTTATTCATGTGTTTTTAGAGAGAAGTATCTTTAAAGGTCTTCCCCTAGTTTATTGTCTTTATGTAAGTCTTTGTTTTTCTTTAGTTCTAATTAATATTGTCCGAAGCATTCAAATACTAATGAGATATTTCTATAAATTAAAAAATTAAAACAAAAAATTGAAGTTATACACATCATTTAGGATACTGACATATGTACACAAGCCTGCAAAATGTACAAGTAAAACATTTAAATAACACTGTTGATTACAAATATAAAATTATTCTTTAAATAGAATCTTGAGTTCTGCTCACATTTTTAAATGAAAATACTACCTCAGTAATTTCAACATTTATCACTGACAGACTCTCAAATATATGATCCAGAAAATGTCTTATTTTCAGAAAATGCCTCATATAGACATTAACACCTATATATCTAAATATAGTATGTGTCAAGTGATTACTGTTTAAATTTCTGTTGTAGATGTCTTAGGACCTTTGCATTGCTCTTTTTTTTTTAAAAAAAAAACATACAATATATTTTATTAACATATTATTCATATCTATGATAAAAATAAAGTAGTCTTACAGGATCTCAAATTCAAAACTTTAAATATTTGAAAAGCCATTGATGAGAAAAATTAATATTGAGAGGAACATGCAGAAATTTTATATCATATCATTTTGATTACCCACTTTTACAAACAAAACTAAATTAAATATGCTCTTGTATATTTCTGAAGGAGGACTATTTTAGTCTTAACCTTTTATTAGAAACAAGGAAAGACAGGAAGAAAAAAATAAATAAACAGCTCATTGGAGTACATTAGAACAAGGACTCAGATTCCAAGTACTTAATGGCAGGAGTTTAGCAAAATTTATCATTGTACTTATTCATATGTTGATATTTTTAGCAATTAAAACAAAACAGAAACAAAAAAAAAGAATAAAGGCAAAAATAGAAGATAGTGAAAGGGGTAATATTCAACAGACTTAGAGAACCCATGTGTTACTTTTCTATGCCTTGTTCTTTCAATAAATCAAGAGAAACAAGGCAAACACTTACCGTCCAGCATCCTTATTCTGTTGGTACATCTCCCAAGTATAACATAAAATTAAAATATAGCACACCAAAATCAAGGGCAAAGGGAAAAAAAAAGTTGTTATCGTCAAATAAAGTGTGTACCTGTAAAATGAGAGAGAGAGAGAGAGAGAGAGAAGACATGCCTATTACATTCACATCGCTAGGCACTGGCTTTGCAGTTTATGAGGCATGATTCTCTGATTTTTCAGGGCCCAGGAGAAAAGTCCTTGGGCGGAAGAATTTAACATCTTTGGGTGCTTTCCTCATTGTTCACTGATACTGATGCTTATCTTTCAGCAGCCAAGGCCAGCATTACTGAGTATGGAATGGGTAAGGATACTTATTATTATTATTATTATCATCTTTAGTGTTATTAGCAATAGCAGATACCATTTACTATTATATATATTAGGCCATGATCTGAGTGCTTTAGATATTTTAACCCACTGAATCTGTACAATCCCATTAGTACAATGGCATTATTATCCACATTTTACAGATAAGAAACTAAGGCACAGAGTGGTTAAGTGGTTTGCTCAAGGTTAGCCAGCTAGTATAATAAGTGGCAGAGGGGGGATTTGAACCCAGATGGACAGTTGAGCTGTAGAGTCAGCCCATCCTTGTAGCCAAGGATTGAGATGGTCTCAAAGGGCCTGTTTGTAAAATTGCCAGTCTTTTCCTCAGTTGCTTTGCCAGGGGGAAGGCTCAGGTTAAACCAATTCCAGTTTTGTACAAATGCCAGGTGTTGGAGAAGGAAGCAGCTCAGGCTGGGTGGGTGTGGACAGAGGCAGAGAAAAGCAGAGAGAAGAAAGGGGAGAGGACAGAGGGGAGAGAAGAGAGGAGAGAGGAGATAGAGAACTTGGGACCAGAAGGACTCTGAGGTAGCACAGAAATTCCATTTTACTGTAAGAATTTAATTCCAGGAGGAACAACAGAGGCCAAAAACTCAGAATATTCTTTATAATAACCAATCAAAAATAGAAGAAGCAGCTGTCAGTGCAAAATAATCTTTTGTATTTCTTTGACACAGACCAAAGTCCTATAGTTAGATAGTGAGCCTCAAGTTGTGCTCTTCTTTTAGAGAGGTTGATGTCCACATTAACCTATCAATGTCTGTGATTAAGTATCATTTCACCTTTAGATTGGCCAGTTTCTGTCTGTGCATGCAGCCAATGCTGGTGGGAGAAATAACAAATAAATAATCAATCCTATCGGTGTTGCACTCCTTGGGAGTTTGCTGTTACTGGATTTGTGGCCAGGATTCTTTAAAATCCATATTTAGATATATTTGTGCCCAATAAAGTTAAGGATTAAACTCAAAATCTTTTTAGATCAACTTGATTATGGAAGGCAGGTAACTAAGTGGGAAGACTGTCTGGGAGAGGATCCCCAAGGACAGGCATGCAGACAACGAGGCTGAAGCACTTCATAACTTAATTCAACTCCACTTTTCTTAAGTTGAAACCACCTACCGGAGCACATCGTCAGGGGATGCTAAATCAAAAGCACAACTCTCCACGCCGTCTTCGAACGCGATGACCTTTGAGGAGACCCAGACAGGCAACGCCAGGAGGAAGGAAGCTGCCCAGAGGCCCACATTGATGCGGGTGGCCTTGTGCCTCGTTCTCCAACTTGTAAGTCGAAATGGTTGGACGAGAGCCAAGTACCTGCAAAGCCAGTTAAAAAGGGTTTGGGAATAATCAATAAAAGCACTGAGCTCCAACAATGAATGGTTCATGACAAGAGTAAATTATTAGTATTATTATTCTTCCTGAAACATACCACTCTCAGGGTAGAAGAAAGTTATAGTAATTTTTAAGAGCTGGCTGGTACCTATAGAAAAAGCAACTCTTGACCCTGCAAGTCTGAATAGACCACTCCCAGAAATAGCTGTCACTTCCACAAACACACGGAGGAGGGTAAAATCTGCCCTGCAAACTCTCTCTTTACATACATAGGTGCTTTCCTTGTAGATGAGGCTCTATAAAGCTTGGTCTCTGAACAGGGATTTCCTCCGGGAGGCAGGAGCCCTCTGCCCTTAGGAAGAGGGAAGTGCGCTGGCTGGAGGGAGGGCCCCCAAGCAGAGAGAGGTTCTGGCCATGGGACAGGCATTTTGCTCAGATAGCTTTTCAGTAGAGTCCCCAGGCACTTGGGGGTACAGTTCAGACAAATCACAGCGAGGAAAAACAAACATGACTAGTATAGACTGTTGCAAATTGTCTGAGGCTTCAGGCTAGAGGGGGAAATGAGCTCATTTTATAGCGAAGTATTTTTCTTCCTTTTTTTTTTTTTCAATTTCTGATCCAGAAAAAAAGGGTGATCATTAATCAAACTTGAAATCCTGATATATCAAATGGATTTATAGCAAATATAAGAAGAATGTTAAGAGGCAACTAAAAGCTAAAGAATGAAAAACAGCGTTCAGATCTGGAATGAAAGGTATTTAGAAAAGCAGAGTAGTGATGGGTGTAGAGGTTGTAGAGTAAGAGGCTCACAGAAGAGGTACAGTTAAAGGAAAAGCCAGTGCTCCCCTTTATTCAGTGTACAGTGTGTAAAGCAGGTTTTATTATCCCCAAGAATGGTGTTGTGATTGGGAAGACATGTACTTTAGGTTGCTTTTCTGCAGTGGCCTGCCCTGTGCAGGGCCCTCTCTCTCTAGTGTTGGGACCTTGCCAAGCTGGCCAGGCTTTACTCAAGGCACTGTCAGCATTGGTTGGCATCAGGTGAATTATCCTGACCTACACAATACATTCATTAAAAAATGTGATGTTGCCGAAACCGGTTTGGCTCAGTGGATAGAGCGTCGGCCTGCGGATTGAAAGGTCCCAGGTTCGATTTCGGTCAAGGGCATGTACCTTGGTTGCGGGCACATCCCCAGTAGGGGTGTGCAAGAGGTAGCTGATGGATGATTCTCTCTAACTCTCTATCCCTCTCTCTTCCTCTCTGTAAAAAAATCAATAAAATATAAAAAAAATGTGATGTTAATTATGACTTAAGAAACACACTCTATATTTGGAGGATTCTTTTGGAGAAAAGCAACAAGATATAAAAAAAATGCATCAAACATTACTATTATTATTCATGTCTGAATAATAATCCAGCCTCTGATAGTTCAGAAGAACTACCTATAACTTCCCACCTCAAAGGCCCACTTGGACAAGTAAAGGGTCAGAGCTCAGGAAGAAGTGCTGGATCGACCCAGGAAATTTAACACAGCCCTCAAGATGGATGGCCATTCATTCATCAATGTTTTTTGAGCACCCACTTGCCAGGCCCTGTTACACAGACACTTGGGATATATCAATGATCAAACCTGCTTTTGTGGAATTTATATTTGAGTGGTAGGGGGAAGCTAGACAATAAGAAACACCCCCCCCCCCACACACACGGTAAATTATACTATGTGATTTATTTGAAGCAAGGGTGTTCTAGTGTACGGGAACTGGGTTGGGTGGGAAGAATGTGGATTGAGATTTTAAGTGGGTTACTCTCTGAGATAATCCTTGTTGTGTGGGTTATGTTGTCTTTTAGTACTTGCTTCTGTTTGGGGAAGACCTGGTGTGGAAGTCTTGGCATCTGGATGATGCAGGGCTCATCCTGGCTTGCATATTTCTGAAAGAGGTCAGGTGGTGAGATAATTATAAGCCACCTGCCAACTTTAGAGACAGCCTGGGTCTGAACTGGGCTCCACCATAATTGGCCCTGTAAGTACTCACCATCACTCTCATCTTCTCAAATAACATTAGCTTACATGGTTGGTGATATGGCTGTGCCATACTCCAGCTCACAGTAGAATACATTGCTAATGATGTAAAATGGCAGCATTTGCATTAACGAGGCATAGTGATGAGTGTAAAAGATGGTCTTCCTGGTACTGGGATATTTCCTTATATCTATATAAGGAGTCCATTTCTACTCCACTGATTCCGTTAGGTGCTAGGTAATAGAAAGAGTGTGTGAGACTTTGCACATATGGGAAATAGCCCTGAGAGGGAGTGAGAAGACCCACTTCAGTTCTCAGCTCTGTCATGAACTCCCTCTGAACCCTTAGCAGATACCCTTACTTCTTGATGGCCTTAGCTTCCTTATTACAAGAATCAAGAGGGCATTCATTCTAGTTTCCAACTTTGCATGATTTTGAAATTCTTTTATATTGTAGTGAGTTGTAAATAAAAAGATTGATTGGAATAAAAGATTGATTGGAATAAAAGATTTTAGTGTTTTAAGCTTTCCATCAAAAATAGACTTCCGTGAAAATGAGAACAAATATTCTTACATAATCAATTCTACAATCAGACAGGCAAAGGAAGAGGAGCCTTGCTGTTACAAACCAGCTCTGATGTTGCTTAAAGTACGAAGCACAAGCACCTTTGAATTATGTTAGATATTTCAGTCTCTTCACTTACCTGTCCACACTCATTACAGTCATGATGGCACTACAGGCAAACTGGTTGCTGGTATCCAGCGATGTAATGATGGTGCAGAGAGGCCCCCCAAATACCCACTCTCCTCCCCGGGCCCACTGGTGAATCAGAAAGGGCATTCCGATGATGTGGACCAGATCAGCCACAGCTAGGTTGCAGATGTAAATGTCAGGAGTAGTTTTTTTCCTCGATCTGAAAGAAATGGGCGGAAACTGAAGACTGACATAGAAAATATGCACCTTCTTCCACGTATGTCACCTGTTACACATTTTCAATTGCCAAAATGAATTTTAAAAGTTAAAGGGAAACGTATACAAGTGTACATATAAATGCCTGGTATATTTAAACAGTTTGACCTATATGCTTGAGACCTAACTGTGGTGGTTTAAAAATGTGTCTGTACATTCTTAGATATTGCTTTCAAAACATGGAGCCTAATTCAGTAAGTCATCTTTAACAAATAGTATAAGGTGGAAATGATAGTGTGTGACATTTTAAAATCAGGACAAAAAAATTTGGGGGAGGTTTCTCCTTGCTCTCTCTTGGGTCATTTCCTTTGGGGAAGCCAGCTGTCATCTTGTGACAGTTACTCTCCACAGTAACTCTGTGGAGAGGTTCACCTAGAGAGGAGTTGAGGCCTCCTGCCAACAACCAGCACCAGCCAGCCAGGTGTGTGGGTGGGCTACCTTGAAAGCTGATGCTCCAGCCCCAGCCAAGATGACTGTTGTCCTAGAGGACAGCCTGATCGCAACTTCATGGGAACAGGAGAGGGGTGGGTGAAAGGGAACTACTAGTCTGATTTAAGCTGGGGGTTGGGGGTGGGGAGGAAGAGGCCTTGTTCTGAGCATTTTCCCTTCTTAGCAGCTTGTATTCCCCCATTTGATTATTAGTGTTTCCTCAGGTTAATACACTGTCCCTGTTGTAATCTCAGTGTAAAATGTAGGCACCATTGGGAGGGTTAAAAAGTAAGGTGTCTGAGTAATTTATGATTTAGTGTGGATTCGTTGCCTTGACAGGGAATTGAAAGCAGGGACTGACAGAGTGGGAACTTTTTTTTTTTATTGGGAGACAGGCCATTTCTTAGTCTCCGTTCAATTCAAGTGGCCTGTGGGTAGACGGAAGAAAGACGTGTTCAACACATGGAAGAGGGGAATCAGTGGAGGAAAATGTCATTTTCTTTAGTGAAATAGTTTTCCAGGGCCCACCGTGGCTGTGGAGAATACTTGAGTAAAGGGGTTGAGTTCATTAGTCTCTCCCTGAAGGAAAAAAAGGGGAAATGTTATCATTGGCTCAATTTTCCTCCCACACTTTCTAATCTGGTTTCCTTTGACCTGCTCTAAGTTTAAAGTATAATAGACTGGTGATGATCTGGTCTCACTACTTTGTAGTTACCCACTTAATGTATCTATCACCTCTTACTTAAAAAAAAAAAAGAAGTCATATAGAACATCTTAGTCTGGAGGCTCCATCTTGCTTAAGCCTATTTTTTTTTTTTTTTTTTTTTTTTTTTTTTTTTTTTTTTTTTTGCATTTATGCTTTTAGTCTTCTTTGGAAAAGTCATACATTGGTTCACTGCTTGCTTCCCAGGGTCACTTTGTCTCTCATTTGGCCTATTCAGGGTGGTCAGTATTGAGGGGAACAGACCACTATCTATGACTGCTTAAGTGTATGGGTGACCAAGTAGAGTCTTTCTCTTGCCCAAGTGAGAGTCTTCTTACCAGCCAAAGCAGCTCAGTTTCTTAGGATAACTCTTATTGCTAGAAAATAAAATGGGTGCCTCATAGTTTCAACCCCTGCCTGGGCTCTAAACCCAGAGTTTCTGAGTTAACTGGTTTGGGGCGAAATTATATATTAAGATTCTTAAAAGCTCCCCAGTGATTCTAATATGTAGCTGAGACTGAGAATCATAGCTCTAAAAATTCACTAACTCAGCAATAAGCATTGGCCTAGGTCTTTTCATTTTGAGACCTGCAATTCAGATGTTATTTAATACATGATAAAAATATCTATAGAATCTTTTTAAATTACTTTAATCACATATTCCAAACCTGATTTCACTAAGAAAAATCCTCCAAGGAGACAAGGATTCACCTAAGGAGTACAGAAAGTCCCTACAATGTGGGAAAGGAGAAGAAGCCTTACCTTACTATAGTGAATACAATGAGGATGTTGCCAACCAGCCCCATTGAGCAGATAAGCCCAACCATGGAAGGGAGGATGACTGTATCCACAACCCTGAGGGATTGATAAGCAAACTCATTATTCCAGGATTTGTTCAAAAGTTCAGCAGAGGTGTTCCAACAGGAAGAGTGAAGTGAATTCATTGTTCATGAACTTCCAGTGGTCAAAGCTGTGAGGAATAGGAAGTGCAGTACCCTCAATATAGATTTTCTTTAACTTAATAAAAATATTATTTTGGGGCTTTTTTGAATCAAGACCCCATGTAACAGAAGATTACAGGGTGAATATAATGAAAAAGTTAGAGATCTGCTGTATAGCACTGTGCTTTATTCAATATTCAGCATTGTACTATTCAACACACACACACACATATATGTATCAAAATTTTTAAAAAAGTATATGAGAGGACAAAGTAAGAGCACTGGTACCTTTTACTGCTTGTCAACTAATATTTCATGTTTAACACCTCTTGTAAATGTTGGAATTCAAAGTCAAGGAAAATAGGGGTATTTGTGAAAATTCTATATAGTAGTTAAAACATCGTGAATCCTTCAGTTAATTTTAGAAGAAATATCTTACTTTACCAATTCATTTAATTTCAAATTTGAGAAATTCATCAATCAAATAATAAATCCATATCAAGCTTTGTTGTCTTTCATCTTATCTTGTTAGCTATGGCAGGTAGTGGCTCACTTTCCCACAGTATATGACTGTGAAATAAACAGCTAGTGTCCAAAAATATTTATGCTTCATAAGTACCATATTCTTGTATTTCTGTCCTTGATAGACACCTCTCAGTTAAATATATAGAAACAAAATATTAATCTACTGATGATCATTAAATATGAGCTGATGAAAAAGTTTTAAGTATTATTATTTAAATATATTCATATTTAAATATTGTTAATATTTACTTAGAAGGCTATTAAAATCTTTTATACAAAGAAACTTCTTAAGTATGATTTCATTATCTAAAGGCCATTTTTATATGGGACAACTCCCTCAAGTCTTATATAATAAAAGGATAATTTGCAAATTGACCCTAACAGCGGAATGACTGGGAACAACTGGTTGCTGCGATGCACACTGACCACCGGGGAGCAGATGCTAAATGCGGGAGTTTCCCCCTGGTGGTCAGTGCGCTCCCACAGGGGAAGCTCTCTCAGTCACAAGCTGGGCTCACTGCTGCAGGAATAGCAGCCATGGTGGGAAGCGGGCCTAGGCTGCAGGTGGACATCCGTCCCAGGGTCCCCGGCTGCCAGAGGGATGTCTGACTGCGAGGGGTCTCAGACTGGGAGAGGGCGCAGGCTGGGCTGAGGGATCCCCCCAGAGGACATGAATTTTTGTGTACCAGGCCTCTAGTTTTTAATGAAAGTTAATGCTTAAATAGATTAACCTAAGCATCTTTGCAGAAACTTCTGCATTCTCTATCTGTCCTCATGTGGTACCTATGGAAGAAACCCATCTAACTGGGTATTAAATACCTTCCCCTTGAAACTTTTCTAGGTATAAAACTCTTTCTCAATTATTTAACTGCAAGTTTTGACACTTATTTGGAATAATCACAAAAAACAAGGCCTAAATAGTTGAGGATGTTTTTATGTAGGAATATTCCTTTTTCCTAAAAACGAGAAATTTATGCTTGTGAGATGGTGTTGAAAGAAGACTGACAGTGTCAGTTTAATGTATTCTGATTCACATCGTTCATCTATAAACACTGACATCTTCATACATACACAATTTATTCATGATGATGAGGACAAGCAAAAGGAGGAATGAATTTGGAGGAAGTCAGATTTTTTTTAAAGAAAAAAGAGAGTGTTAAGTCTGAAAAGTGGTAAGAAAATGCATATGGCAAAGAAGAGCAGGATGTAGAGAATAAATTAAAAGAACTAACAGATGATGTTTGCTTACACTAGGGTGATTATTTCACACAATTTTGATTACTTTAAAAAATAAATCCTAAAATAATAATCTTTAACCATTTTTCTGTAAACATAGTCACGATGAGGGGATTAAGTGAATCTAATGAGGTAGCTTTATGGCTACTTGTCTTGTTACTATTTTCAAGATAAATCTCAGAAAAAAAATTATATGGGGAAAAAAGCCTGCTGCTAATAACTAACAAAACCAATAAGGATGTTTAAATATCCACAAAGCACAAAACATAACAATTACACTTACCTGCTACATTCCTGCCCACATGCACACCTGCAGATCCAAATTGTATAGATTTGCTCTCCCAGTTGTGGCCCAACTCACTGGGCTCATTATTTTTTTTAATTCCATCTGCCCATCACCTTCCACTCTATTGACTCTCTTTTTTGGCGATTTCTATTTTAATGATCTCCAGGCATGCTCAGTCATTCATTCAACAAACATTATAACATCTACAGCAAAGATCAAGATCAACAAGATTTCCACCTCCTTGGCATTACATTCTAATACGGCTGTATCAGTGGTTTACAAGGGTTTGTGGTTTTTATAAATGCACTGTGTTCTGTCATTTGAAATTTGTCATTGCAATTTGAAACTTTGGTTAAGTAATCAAAGTTTACTTAAGTCTCAGTTTCCCCAGTAATGACAGTGCCTATCTCAAAGAATTGTTGTGCTGATTCATGTGATGATTAATGACCAAGTGCTGAGCACAATGTGTTCTAGTAAGTGTTTAATATCAGTCATTGTCACCATCATCTGCATCATCACTATGCAGTAGGGTTTCTTACTGGGTACAGAATTAGGGAATGGGAGTGGAGTGGCAAGAATTGTAGGAATAAGAATTGTGCACAAAGACAGGGATGTCACTTTTTGATTTATTTTTTTTTTCCTACAGTGAGCAGGATTAGAAACTGCTAAAGGGCAAACTGAGCATATTAAAGCTTTCAAGTTTATTTGAGTGAACATCAATTCAAATCAAGCTAAACACAAAACTAAAAGTGGTTAGGAGAGCTCCACTGACAGGAGCCATGGCAAAGTTTTTTTTTTTTTTTTTCCTTTTCTTTATTGATTAAGGTATTACATATGTGTCCTTATTGCTCCATTGCCTCCCTCCCACAATCCCGTTCAGGACAAAGGCTTTTATAGAGAAAGCGCAGAAAGCAAAGCAGGGAAGTTATTTGACTGGCTATCACTTATGGTTTCCTTATTTGGGAGAGCCTCCTTGGCTATTTGCGTTTGGTTGTTCTTAAGAGGTTTTTTTCTTTTCTTTTTTTTTTTCTTTCTTTTTTTCTCAGATTCAAATGCATAGACTCTGGCTCAAGATTTGGGTTTGTTTACCTAGGCCACCAAAGCAATAGGGCCACTTCAGTCTAATGACTTTCTTCAATTACTTTAACAAAATGCAGTACCAGTTTTCAGCTCAAAACACTACAGACAGTAGAGAAGAACACCAGATAAAAAGGGGATCGCTCCCATGATGCTGTTTCTCTCTATTAATTGTATAGATAGCAGCTCCAATGAACTGATATAGACGTGGAAAGACCAGGCTGGCTGGCTCTCACAGCCAGAAAAAAATCCCCTCCAGGGGCCCCTCCACCTCTAACTTCTCAGTTTCCCATGTGTCTCCAAGTGACAAGGAGAAACTGGAAAACTGAGACTACAGAGTTTATCCTAAGGATGCAAACACCATGAGTTGGGATGATGTTAAAATATGGTCAAATTGGCTGAGAATGTGTTTTAAACGTACCCACCACTTCACTTCTTGTCACCTGTCTCCTTCAGATAAGTAGTAGGCAAGTAATGTAACCTAAACAACAGAACCTATGCTCACCCTTGAAAGATACAAAAACATTTATTTCATTTCTTATCCCAAACATCCAGAGCATCCTTCATTTGTCTCCTGTTTCAAACCAGAGAGAAGTTTCTCTTCACTGAATCAATGAAGGAATTAGATCTCACATCTATTGTGGCTAAGCAGAGGTCTGTGGTCCTTTAGCTTATAGAATGGAGAGGGGTCTTTTTAAGAAAAAACAACAACCAAAGTTACAAATACAAATTTAAGTGCAAGTGTTTTAGACCGAGAAAAGACATGATAGCACATTACAAATCTTAAAAAGCTAAAATATTTCCAAAAAAAAAAAAAATCTAGGAAAATAACATTTTTATTCATTGCCAAACAAACCTCCATAATACTTTTCTCCTTTTTGGTTGCATAATGTTTAATTATCTTTGCAAATGACAATGATTTAAAATACCATCTATTTGATAGTTCAGAACCTACCGCCTTAGGAAACCAGGTGATTTTACACAAGCCTCAGCCTTTTTACGTCAGGTTTTTTAGCCTGTATAAAAACCATTTGCAATCGGATGTGCACCAACTCTGTGTGGAGGTGGGGCATCTCAGGCAGGCATTAGTACCCTAGGAGATGAAGCCACTGATGGCGACTGATGATGTGAAGGAGCAGGGTTGCTGGAGGCTCTACTTGTGTAGCCACAGCCGCTCCGTAGCTCAATCCCACTGCTTACCTGTGCTCCTGTCAAAAACAGCTTCCCTGGGTGTGGCTGCTGCAAGCTAGCCAAGTTTCAGTTCAATGAGCATCATCTGTGTTTTTTTGACAGTACTGCCCAATTACCTCAATGTTTGCTAATGCACCTACATGACCTCCAGGTATCTTCAAGCCCCTGTGGCAGCTTCTTTTGTTCCAATACCTTCCCGAGGTCTTGCTAAGTACGGTAAGGGGTGCTGGCTGGAATCCAGGATCTGCGGCTCAAATTCGTTTTGCTCTTAATGCAAGGGATTTGCATATTTTGCTAGTGTTTTTGCCGCATGCACTTGCTGGTCCCTTGCCAAGCACATTCCCTTGTCAGCATCTCACACATTCCACAGCATCAAAAGTGATCGTAGGCTTATAGAGGCTAGAATGCTAACACTTACCCGACTTACTGATTTTTCTTTTAACTTTAACTTTACTTTTTTAATGCACTTATATTTAATGACTTGGTTTGAATTAAGTAAACGAATGCTTAACTTTTGATAAGCGACTAAGGTCTAGGATATAGTCTGACATGTTATCCCACTCATTCATAAATCACTCTTCAAATGTGTGAACAAAATTAGTTTTCCTCTGCTCAAGCAATAGCTAACATTTTAATTAGCACGTTCAGAATATCCTTTGAACTTGAACTGTATTAGCTGGAAGAGAAT